GCGGCGTACAACCATACTCACTCACTCACTCATTGTGGAGATAGTGATGTCTGAAACTCCTGATTATTCAGAAATGTCTTTATAAATAACACATATTATCTTGAACACGCAGAAGTGACACCCATTTTTTTTTCTAAGGAGGGGCGGTGGGGTAGCCTAGTGGTTAAAGCGTTGGCTCGTCACGCCGAAGACCCGGGTTCGATTCCCCACATGGGCACAATGTGTGAAGGCCCATTTCTGGTGTCCCCTGCCGTGATGTTGCTGGAATATTGCTACAAGCGGCGTAAAACCAAACTCAGTCAGTCAGTCAGTCAGTCAGTCAGTCAGTCAGTATTTCTAAGGGTTTTCCTATGTCTTAAGGATGCGAGGCTGGCACACCTTAGTCTAAACCACAGACCGACCTCAGGTCATCTATGTGTTTTCAATCCCAAGGGTCCTGGGGGACTCCTTAATGATGCGCTGAAAGCAAATATTGGTGTACTGCAGTCCAAATAAACAACTGTCATCTCATGTGTTTGTTCAGGCAATTAGCATTGTTGAAAGACAGGTTTAGACTCCAAACATTGTTCAGAACAAATAAGACAAAGTCTCGCTAACGCAAATACAACACAGAGCCGAATTATTGTCATCGATGGATTTTGAGCAACCTCAGATTGCTTTCTCTGAGGTACGCGCCCTGTAAAGAGGTCAAATTGTTCTCTGTGACGTCCGCGCGATATGATCACGACTGACACACCTACCATTTTACGTTATTACCCTTCACGATGTAATCAGAATCGTACAATGGATCCTTTCTTTGGGAGAGATTTTTTCCATTTTATGGAAAAGTTTTTGTCCCATTTTATCTATTTATTTTGACAAAGGGAGTGATTACTAAAAGGCTTATGCAGCAGCACCTACGATTGACTATGACAAGCACAGTGGTAGTATACATATACTTGTCACTGGAAAATCATTAATACTAGATAGGAACCAACGTAGAAACATTTTCTATTCTAGTCACCATGGACACAAGCTGTAGGTCACTCATGTTTCCCAGTCTATAAGTATGTTTGTATTTTGTTTAAGAGACGCAAATCAGGAGTATCCTTTTATGAAATTATGATACAAAGGAATTAGAGGTTGAAGTACTGATGTAATGACAACGAGCACATACGTGGCTTTGCTGGATTGACTTACTGATTGAGAACGGTGACTCGATAACTGGAACGGGATAATTGCTGTAGCTGCTGGCGTAAGATGTAATGAAATAGTTCCACGGTTTCTTTAGGAAAGACTTGCCTTGCCTTTGCATGTGTTTGTGACGGTATCGCCGATGGGGCAAGATACTCTCATCATTTCGCGAACACATCTTATCAGTATCTGAAAATATTTACAGAGAAAATGTTTATTAAATTTCTGAATATAATATAGCTAAAAAGGATTCCAAAGATTCTTCATTTTTGCAGTAATCTAGACTTTTCTCATGATTTAAAAAAAATCCAAGGATAGATTCTGCATCGGCAGACTTGAAGAAATGGTTAAGGGAAATTGGGATGGTATAAGGAAGTTATGAGATTGTTCAAAAGAGGATTAAAATACCACACTGGCTGTTTAAGGTTAGCACGTGCTGGTGTTTTCATACAGGCACAGTCGCAATTTATGAACTGTAAATATGCCCGTGTGGAATTTCAAACATGTTTCAGTTATCCGTATTTGATTATTCTTCCAACAAGGTGAGCATGTCTTTACTGTAACTCAAACACAAATGTCAAAACTTAGTTATAAGAAGCAGCCGCGAATGTTGTGTTCATTTACCAACCTCGCATGCCCTCATGAAGAAATTCTTTTAATCAGAGGAGCGATATTGACTCGCAACAAATCAACATTTGATGTCCCCGCCATCATCCCAGATATGGACCACAGGCACAAAACACCCCCATGATGTGGTTCAGTCCGCTCAACTTCTTCAGTAAATGTGGACGGTGGGGAATTCTTGTAGTTAACGCGTTTGCTGAATGGGTGGATTTGTTCCACACTTTGGTACACGTGGTCCATTTCTGGTGTCGTTGTGATCTTGGTGAAAGCAGCGTGAAACCATATACTAGTATACCAAACGTCAGGGAGATGAACAGAACAGCTATTGTGGTTTGGGGAGGGTAAGTGAACAGCTTATAGTAATGTTGATTGCTGATTCTAATAATGTAAACAGGTGCCTTATGAGAGGGAAGCATTACGTGAGTGAGGCTTGTCACGTTATATTTGCTCCAAACGTCCTTATTTTTCACACTTAAACAATGGGATAGTGTGAGGATGGCTAAATAAATCACATATATTTTCCATCGTTGTTGAAGTCGACTTCACCTTGTCCCTCCCATGACACACCTTTGAGCGTGACCCACCTTGGGACAAGACACACCTTGGAGCAAGACACGTGTGAGATTAGCGCCGTGGTTGCACCAGAGCCACCTATGTGTGACGTAATCTTCACGGGATTCACCAAGAACTAGGCCATTGTCTTGTCAAGCCAACTCGAGTGACAATATTTGTTGGGTTTACTGGAATGAAAGTCATAACATAATCCGTTAACACTAGGAAATGCTCGCCACATACCGCGAACAACAGCTACTGTGTGTCCCTTTGGCTGCTATACTGGCTATAATATGCGCTAATCGTATGTATACATGTGTCTTATATAAAACTAACATCTTGTCTGTGTCATCACAATATTTCAGAGGAAATGGTTAGATTATCTGAATAGAACATGATAAAAAGGAATTAAGACGCACCTTAGTATAGTGTGTCATTAGTCAATAATGGTCTCTTGGGATAACAAACTGTGGACTCTGGGGATAACAGATGTTTGACTCTTGGGATAACAGATGCTTGACTCTGGGGATAACAGATGCTTGACTCTAGGGATAACAGATGCTTGACTCTGGGATAACAGATGCTTGACTCTAGGGATAACAGATGCTTGACTCTAGGGATAACAGATGCTTGACTCTAGGGATAACAGATGCTTGACTCTAGGGATAACAGATGCTTGACTCTGGGATAACTTGACTCTGGGGATAACTGCTTGACTCTAGGGATAACAGATGCTTGACTCTAGGGATAACAGATGCTTGACTCTGGGGATAACAGATGCTTGACTCTAGGGATAACAGATGCTTGACTCTAGGGATAACAGATGCTTGACTCTAGGGATAACAGATGCTTGACTCTAGGGATAACAGATGCTTGACTCTAGGGATAACATATGCTTGACTCTAGGGATAACAGATGCTTGACGCTAGGGATAACAGATGCTTGACTTTGGGGATAACAAATGTTCAAATCCCTTTGTGGACTGGCCACTGGTCAGTGTGTATAAATTTACATTGGTTTAAGCAATATGATGGTGGGAGACACCAGAAAGGGGATTTGACATATTCCAATTAAAGAAAACACTGAATCTACAAAGAGAACTGGTGACCACAGGCCCTCGTGCCTTTGCGAGGATTAAAGATTACAAAAAAAATTGAGATGACCCCCGACTCGAACTTCAATACATGGTGTATTGTACTGTGAAGCATTTCGAATCGGGGGTCATCTCAAAAACATTTTTTTAAAATCTGTAATCCTCGCAAAGACACGTCCTCGTAAAATCCTCGCAAATCCTCGCAGTGACATGCTATGTGGTGGGTGGGTGAGTGAGTGAGTGAGTGCAAATAATGTCACCCATTAATCCTACGCGTGAAGCCGTCCCACGAGGTCCTAAAACATCATCATCAGAATTATTAGTTTCCTTATCATTGCTGCTGTTACTGTTATAATTGGTAATTGCAGTGGTATTTATAATGCACATATAGGAAACAATGTATTTCCAGCTTCAAGACAATGTGCAGTTGTCGCGAACTTAAAGCACTCTAAAATATACGGAAGCTGGAAAGGGTTTAGGTGTAATCCTGGGGTAATCCTTTCTGTGTAATCCAGTTTACAGACTGAACGTCATGCATGAACCAATCCTAATCCGGATTATGTAAACGGATTATGGTGTGTTACAACATAGCTCAGCAACTCGTTATGTAAAGCTGGCTCGTGAACGTTTTTCAACACCGGAAGTACGATTATAGGAGTTTGAGTGAGTGAGTGAAGATTTGGGAGATAGACGTTTGGTAGGCAAGGGAACTATATATAGCTTGTTACATTCGATTTGTATTAAAATATTCAGTTTATGTGACACAAACATTGAAAATAGTCTTTGTTTTGACAGTCAAGTCATAGTAAAAACTGATTATTTTCGCTCAAAAAACCTTTCGATCTTTTAGCAGTTTTTTAGTAGTCACTACCACCACCACCACCACCACCACCACCTACTACTACTACTACTACTACTACTACTACTACTACTACTACTACTACTACTACGAGGACGACGACGTCGTAACCACCACCAACAAAAATAACAACACCAACAACACAACAACAGCAAAACCACTACCACCACCACCACAACAACAACACACAACACATAACTTGTCTCTCCACCAGATCCACCAGATAGAAAGCGGAAGGTCGACTCCCATCGTTACCAAAGACGTTAGGTACTTGTTGGTCCTGTCTGTTCCCAGTAAATGGATTGGATCAGGGACGGTGGGGCTTCAGCCTGGTAGTAGGTTAAAAGCATCCGCTCGTCGCGCTGAAAACCTGGGTTCAATTTCCCACGTGGGTTAATTGTTTGAAGCGGCATAAAACCATACTCACTCACTCATTGGATCAAGTGAGACTCGGTTCCCAGTAATGCATTGCTTCTTTTGGGAGACTACATTGGATCTAGTGAGACTCGGTGACTTGGTTGATCAGATGCCACCGTACACTCGGTGCTCATAATATCAATCACCGGTTTTCCCGTCTTGAGTCAGTCGTTTTGTAGCTTGCCATTTGCTAAGTGTGGTTCTAAACAACACACGTTCCTTAGTCCACTTATTGCATTCAATTTTAACATCACTAAACTACAACTCTGTTATATTTTTCAGAATGACTCTGATGATGACGACGACGATGATGTAGATGCCTATTCTCCATTGCCCACTCGATCCTGGAGGCTGTGTAACACCACGCCCCCCTGTCCGTCACCCCCTCCTGGTCTCAGAATGAACGGGCACCTGTGCCCTTCCCCTTCACAACAAGGTCCAACTCTCAGATCCGGCAGCTCATTGAAGAGGAACAGTATGGTGCATGATAGACCAAGACGAATCAATGGCCTGTCAATGTCCGCCGACAGAATCACACTACGAGAAGAGCCAAGTATGACCTCAGAAAAATCCCCAAAGATCAACGGCCAGAGTCGCTCTTGTGATCAGTCACCTTCCCATAATAGCAACGTGCAGAAACCCAAATCAGCTAGTCCCAAGACAAGACAGGCTCCTCCCCCTCCCCCACTCCCCAAAACCAGTCCCCCCTCCCCCAGGCAAGTGTCCTCGTGTGAGGTAACGAACCCTGACCGGTCAGGGTGGCTGTTGGATCAGCTTAGAGGGGAGAAGGTTTGGTGTGTTGTAGCTGACATGCTGTTTTGTGTGTTTCAATCCGACACTGCTGAGACTTCCAAGGACGTGATCTTCCTACCCGGCTGCCGGGTCAGGTCTCTCGTTTTTAACAGTGCTAAAAGAGACAGTGTAGGAAGCAAAGACTGTGACGAGAACACCAAGACAATCACAGGTGTGGACAGGTATCAGTTCTATATTGAAAACGTGAGCATAAGGCGGAAGTACTTGTTCGGGGTGAAGTGTAAGACTAACCTGGACGAGTGGGTAGATGTCCTGACCAGGGCGTGTGATATAGCTGTGTTTGACAACTGTGCTAACCAAAGTCGAGACTCTGATGGTTGGGACAGTGCTGATGACTCTGTGTTCCCGCCAGCTAACGGGAGCTACTACCCATCCCCCACACGCTCAAGAAGGATGAGCATGATTTCCATGTCTCTGAGGGACAGTGATCTGAGTGATTCTGACTTTAGAAAACGTTTACGCAAAGAAACCGATGATCCAAAAGTCGCCCCAGTGAAAGGTCTTCACATTATGGAAGCTCAAAAGCAGCCTAAAAAGTCAAGGTCGTTTCTGAAACTGAAGTCCTTTGGGAGTTTGGACAGCCTTTTGAAAAGAAAAAGATCCCGAAGTGCTGAGAGGGCAGCCACTGGTGATAGTCGTTCTCTGGATGAAACCAAATCTCTGAATATCCCCGATTCCCCCAACTCTGACGTACTGGATACTTCTCTGTTATCACGACCAGTCTCTTCTCAATCATTTTTATCGAGGTCCTGGGATTCAGGAAAATCTTCCAATGGTTTAGGATCTAGCATCAGACGAAGGGCCTCGGACCTGAAAGACAAGGTGTTTGGTGGGGAGAAGCCAACACACTCTTCAAGAACTCCTGGCCTGAGACTCAGGGACCTGAACGATATTAGGATAAGTGGGCATTTGCAATACAAGTTTATGATGAGGTGGATTAAAGTGTGGTGTGCCGTGAGCAGGGGATGTTTCTATGGGTTCAAGTCTCAGAATGGTGGCGAGAGTCCCATGATAGCTGTCATCTTGACTCAGAGCACCGTTTCCTACGTAACGGAGCCAGAAAAAGGAACAAAAAGTTGTATGTGTTTAAACTCTCACAGAATCATTGTAAGAGCATTTACCTTTGTGCACAGGAGGAGTCGGATCTTTCACGGTGGTTACAGACACTTCAGATGGAGGCGTGTAGAATTCAGGCAGACGATAATCTGGCATTAGAAAGTACGTCCGATTGTAACTACAGCGTTGACAGCGCGCTCAGTGCTATGTCAATGGCTTCTAGTCATACTGACATTACTGACAATTACCATACATTCAGCACTAACCTTGCTCTCAACTCAACGACACATTCAACGGATGCTCAGGACTATATTCCTGGGATGTATGACTTTGCCGGAAGTGACGTCACGGGTCGTCTGGACAGTACAGAATCAGCAGACGACTGGGACAACTCAAGTCAAAGCTCTACCAATGAAGCTCCCTATAACCGTTATAACGACGTCACACCCAAACATGACCCCAGCGTCTCGTACCTGTGGGGCAAGGACAAGGGGTACCTGTTCCAGGTGATACGAGCTAAGCTGCGGAAGGGGAGGAGGGGTAGGGGCGAGGGGGCGCTGTATGACCGGGAAGTGTGCCGGGCGGAAGGAGAAGGGTCGCTGCTTGTCATCCACGATGATGACAATACATTTTGCCGAAAACAGGTAAGAAACGCTTTTTCTTGTGATTCTGTTTTTTGGGTAAACAGTTTAATGAAATTACTGGTAAAAATAATTTGTCTTGGGTTTTGTGGGACTTGAAACCTTAGTTCGGCTCTAACAAAATGTATGTCTTTGAAAAATGATAAGGGACCGTTCATAATTTATGGCTCGGGGGATTGATGATGATTTTTATGGAGAAGCATGTACAATGTGAATGACCCCCCAAAAAAAAAAAATAAATGCACAAATAAGTGACCCACCTTCATGCACAAATATCAGTGAAACACCCTTCATGTCACCCACCCCATCAATGACACCCCCTCCCCTCAACAATTTCTAAGCATAATTTTAAACATATTTTTATGTACAAAATTGCTGAAAACCCCCAGCTCCTCAAAACAAAATGGGTGACCCACCCTTAAATCATCATCACTCCCCCTAGCCATAAATTATGAACAGTCTCCAAAAATAGAAATATCTCAGACACCACCCTGCCTTGATGTGTGAAACAATGACCGAATGTGATCGAGTGATCTTTTAAGAAAATACGCCTTTGTTTTAACCCAAGCTGTTGACAGAATTCATGATCGATAACTTGTATTATACATATTCTCACTTATGAATAAACGTTTCTCTGTGGTCGTCGACAACCTCACCTCGCGTCAATGGTCATGTGTGATCTGATCTTGATTTGTTAAATTCATCGTTCACAAGTTAGGTATTTTACAACACTTCATTCGAATCTGTATCACCGCACCGAGAGTTCAAGGGGACATAACTCCTTTCTGAATGGTCAACTGCCGTGCGTATCTCATCTTAATGAACAAACACTATTTTGAAGGAGCCGAACCAGAAATGTATGTACCTAGTTTTGATGTCTCGAGCATTCCTTAGACGTAGGGTATTAACCAGTTCGAAATAAACATATAAAATTAACCACGCTGAACTTAATTAAATCCAAATATTATGAAAGGGAAACATTCCCACGCGGGTGCCCCTGGTGTTATTACCGTATGTACGCCATAGACCACAGCACACAATGGATGCACACATGTGACGCCGTAAAGACCCACAAACACCCGTTATAGTGGTTTCAAGGGCCTGTAAATGTTGAGGAAATAATTCCAGGAAATTGCTTCACATTCTCGGGTACACAATAGCAAGTCGTTACAATGGTGTTTCCATGTCGTGACTCTTTCTTACACCGGCTTTGATGTGCCGCGCATTGTGTTAGAGGTACACTAAGTATTTGTATATGTTCATAATACCAGGAAGGCGAGACATGGGTTCAGAGACTGGACTTTACTCCGGCCTTGAAATGGCTCGTCATGAAATAACTGACGTTCTTTTCAAAATGGGTTTAAACCAAACTTGAATTTCGATAACAAATGAGCCTGTCACTTATGGACTCGTAAAATGTTTGGGTGAGTGAATACTGAGTGAGTGCGTGAGTTAAGTTTTACGCCGCACCCAGCAATATTCCTGCTATTTGGCGGCGGTCTTTAAATAATTGAGTCCGGACCAGAAAATCCAGTGATCAACATCATGAGCAGAGCCGAAAATCATCAAGCCTAATCCTTACAAGTTAGTAGCTGATAGCACGCGCTGAGGTCCACGTCACGGTCGTACTTCCGATGTTTAAACATGTACTAAAGATCGTCCTAAAGCTTAGGCTAGAGCGGGAGGACCCTTGTCACAATATACCGAGGGATAGTGGTTAAAGCATTCGCTTGTCACGCTGACGACCCGGGTTCCATAACCCACACATATATTCTTTTATTTCCTCCATAGGAGAGTACAAGGTCCTGGCGAAAGATTATTTACATAGATTTACAAATAAATTAGGATGCTTTAAGTAGTTTGCTATGTGCTACTGAAAAAGGTGAATGAGTGAGTTTAGTTTTACGCCGCACTCAGCAATATTCCAGCTATATGGCGGCGGTCTGTAAATAATCGAGTCTGGACCAGACAATCCAGTGATCAACAGCATGAGCATCGATCTGCGCAATTGGGAACCGATGACATGTGTCAACCAAGTCAACGAGCCTGACCACCCGATCCCGTTAGTCGCCTCTTACGACAAGCATGGGTTACTGAAATCAGAGCTTAGATTTTCGAAGCTCTCTTAGCGCTAAGATAGTCGTAATTATAAGTTATTGTTAATGAATGGCACTTACGACTATCTTAGCGCTAAGAGAGCTTCGAAAGTCTAGGCCCAGTATTCTAAGCCGGACCTGCACGGGTATCTGAAAATGGAGTTGAAGATAGAACAGTATTTTATGAAACTCTTGGCGTACAGTTGGCTGGCTTCGGCATCGGTCTGCATTGGTGGGTTGCACGACAACGGGCATGCAACAATGTTTGCAGTCTATTTATGTTGTTCCCCGTCATATTATTGTTGGGATATCGCGTTTAAATATACTTACGCACACTATAACGACAATATCCTAACGTTCAGGAAAGACTGTTAACGCCAGCTGTAGCAATAACGCTATAATTTCACAACTTGGGACACAAGTAATCGATTTGATAAATTGTACCATATGTCGTGAACGCTATCCCCGAAAAAAGATTTGTAGTACAGATGTATGGGTGTCACAGCGGGGGCTGATGGGTGTCACAGCGGTTAAAGCGTTTGATCGACATCCCGAAGGCACATTGGTACAATTAGACAAACCAGAAATATAGTTTCCCGATTTAAAATATAATTGAGAGAGTGGCTGATTTTAGTTTTATGCCGCTTTTAGCAATATTTCCAGCAATATCACCGGACACAAGAAATGGGCTTCATACATTGTACCCAGGTGGGAAATTGAACCCTGGTCTTAAGCGTGACGAGCGAACGCTTTAACCACTAGGCTACCCAACCGACCCTTTAAATACAAAATGTCTTCAAAATGTAAGAAAATCCAAATAAACCAATGACAATACCAATTCTAAATTTGCCAAATCATTGCAGGTTGGGTTGGATTCATTTTAAAATATATTCTCGAGGACAGACTAGGATACTTTGTGTTAAGGAGTGCTGGTATTCAACGTCCTGATATTGTTGGATTATTGCTATATGCGGTGTAAAACAATTCTCCCTTATATCGGCTCATTTAAACAGAACAACATGGCACAACATCTTGCTTGCGAGGAACAGTGAATTAAAGACATACACACGAGATTTCGTGGACCACTCCCTGGTGTAAATGTGTGTAGGTATGTGTATGTCTATGTGACGCACGTGCATGCTCACTGACACTAATGTCGTGTAACGCGACAGGCTATTAGTACCCCTTGCATCACTAATGGCCAATAACGTTCATCATTGACGGGTCCAGTTATGTATAACGCGCATTCGTGGGTCAGCGAACTTTCACCCACGCAATGAGACCACTAGCTTTAATTGATTGACAGGTGACATAATTTGATCATACCGATCCAGATTTGGGGCTGTGTTGTTTTAAATGATTTCATATCAAGCAAAAATAACGCAGATGTTTTGAAACATTTAATATAGATTCATAACCACGTTCAGGGACGTACGATATAGGTAACCAGTCGGAACGAACGTGCACAATTAAATCTTACTGAGCGTTTGCTTTCTGAGAAAGTCATGGACCGTGTTGATTTTATGGCCCGCCCGGATCGAGTGTATCTATAATCTTGTACGGTCCGTGAGAGTGTGGTTGGGCCTGGAACCAGGCGGGATTGATGACTGACTTGCCAGTTGACATGGGTTGTCAGTGTAGCCGAATATAGACTGAAATATACATCAATGTATCACCATGGACTATAGACTGATATCACACGTGGGGAATATACAGAGATATATCATCGGGATGAGCTTGGATATTACGTGTAATACACAGTGACTCGAGGTTCACAGTGGAGACAGGTACGGCTTGAAAATATATTGTTAGGGAGTCAGATTCTGATATCCCGGCTGCATCTATATACAAAAGAAGTTAAGATCATCCAATTATTTCATATCACTGTTATTTATCTGACACCTGTGTTATTTCACATCACTGTTATTTATCTGACACCTGTGTTATTTCACATCACTGTTATTTATCTGTCGCCTGTGTTATTTAAATGGGAGTTTAAAACATGGGAAAGAACGTGTTCTATAACTTCTTTATTTCCTGGTTGCAATTTGTAGGTATGTGCTACTCAAAAGTTAAGACCACAAGATTCTGTCAAATTACTCTCTATTCTGTCACCTCTGCTCTTTCACTGAATGGCAGATAAGCAGTTAAAATATAAACGAATATGGGTGTTCCCTCATTTCTGTTGAGTAGTATATATGTGGACACTAATGATATATTTAGTTTAAAGAATTTCCTTTAATTGTATCATGTACAATCACATATGTGATGTAGTCTATCTGGATCATATGGTTTTATTATAAAACAATTAAACAAATGAAGTTTTTTCATCTTCTGGGGTCCAGTAGCCCATTCTCACTTCCATCATGGTTCATTAATAGTCCTATATGCATTTTTATATTATGACGTTTATCGGAGACTCTATGTGACTCTAATCTGTGATGGAAAACGTTTGACTTTTTAAAAACAATTTAAACATTAAATGTAATTTTAAGCGAAAATAATATAATAGAAAAGACTATAAAGACTATGATAGAAAATGTGTTTATATGACTCACTTACTTTTGAAGTTCACAGTCATGTTACATTATATTTCCATTTCTTGAATCGGGAACGCAAAGCTGAAGATTATAAATATTTGTAATTCTATTTCCAAATATTGTAAAAACATTCGCATAGATATATCTTACCCTGCTCAGAAGCCTGATTATTGGCATTTGAAAATTTGTTTATAAATTAACAAATTCATGGCAAAATTACCCTCTCCAATTTTATGAAGATAAACGAGACCTGTTAACTAATTTCAGGGGTTTGGAGACATAAGTACAATTTTAAACTTCGTGTGAATTTAGAGTTTTTGAAAAATCCCAATTAAGAAGAAAATAACTTATTTCCAAGTTGACCTAG